AGGCCTTCAGCTGCGAGGTTTGCAAGGCCAAAACCCCCGCCACCAAGCACCTGCGCCTGCAGCGCCTGCCCCAGATCCTGGTGCTGCACATCAAGCGCTTCAAGTACCGCGGCTTCTTCACCGACAAGCTGACGGCCTCGGTGTCCTACCCGCTGGCGGGCCTGTCCCTGGACACCTACCTCTCGCCTGAGGCGCTGGTGGCGGGGGAGGGCGGCGCGCTGTACGACCTCTACGCCGTGTCCAACCACTACGGCAACCTGTCGGGGGGGCACTACACCGCCATGTGCCGCGTGCAGAGCCCGCAGGCGCCCGAGGGCGAGTGGTATTGCTTCAACGACGACCTTGTGAATCGCGTGTCGGAGGACCAGGTGTGTTTATGCTCGCACACATGTGTGTGTGTGTGTGTGTGAGGGGGGTGGTCTGAGGTTTGGATGAGGGGTTGAGGCAGTTTTTTCCCTTTTGGGAGGGGAGGGTAGTTGAAGAGACTCCCAGGGATGAGCAGCGCAAGGGAATGAGGGGCGGTGTCTGTACTTCTGTGTGACACCGAACCAATGCAAGGCACGCGCCCTTTTTGAGATGTGCACATGTGCTGGCAGGGTAAGGTAGGAGCCTGGACATGTCCAGTCGGGGCCCTCCTCCTGCTCATCAGGACCCTACCCCTCCACAACACCACTGCAGGTCATGTCACAGTACGCCTACATCCTCTTCTACGCACGCCGACCCAGGGCGGCAGCCGCATGAGGAGTTTTTTCCGCGTGCAAGCTTGGGAGTCCCCCCCTCATGAAGAAACCTTCCCTCGCAATAAGCCGCCACATTCGCCCCCGCTGTCTCGCCCTCGACGACAGCGGCGACCCCCCTGGCAACCCCCCCCTTGCGCTTGTTCACATTTGCCTGCTCTCGCTCACGCGTCACACTGCTGCACTCCCCTCGAGTCTGCCCCTGCCCTTCTCCTCGACCTTGTTGGCACGCCGGCGTGCCCAGCCGCGTCCCACTTTTGCAAGGCGGAACGCCATCTGGCTGGGGTGTGACATGGGATCACTGGCTACAACAAGGCAATTGTTCTGAACAGGAGGGTCTGCGGTGGCACCCGGCCGGGCCCATTCACGCTTCCCAGACTCACTGCCGCGAGGCACGCAGCGCCTGCAGCGCGTCGGGCCCTGTGGTGCTCCGGCCAAAGGCGCCGGCCCCCGAAGCAGGGACCACCAGCATGCGCGACCTCTTGCGCCCCGCCGCAGCCTTGGCCACCGCGGCGGCGAGCGCCGCTTGTCGCGGATCCACGCCGACCTTCTTCTTCCTCTTCGCCCGGGGCGGGCCCGCCGCGGCCGCACAGGCCGCGGCGCGGCTGTCGGCGAGGGACTGCGCCAGCGCCACGGAGGAGGTGGTCACGCTGTGCGCGCTGGGCTGCCCGGCGTGCGCCGCCACGGCCGAGGCCTGGCCAGCGGTGAAGTAGCGCTGGCTAAACGCGGGCTGCAGCGGCTCCGCAAGCAGCGCGCCCAGCTCGGCGCGCAGCCTCTGCGTTTTTTAGTGATGGTGGGGGGTGGGCGTAAGGCCTGGCAGGCGCACTCAAGCCGGTCGTGCCAATGTCCTGGTGTGCGCCGACACCTCCGAAACAAGCACTGCTCAGCGCTTCATCAATGACCTCCACCCCCCTTCCTCAGCCATGGGCCCCTCCTGTCCCTCCAGGACTGCTCACCCCCCCCGCCCCCCTTACTCCCCATTACTCCCCTTCCCTCCATAAAAAACAACCAATAAACATACCTGTGCGGCGATCACGCCGTCAACCCCGCGGTCCCCCGCCTCCAGTGCCTGCCCTCTCCGCCCGCCCCTGCGCCCAGTCGCGGCCGCCTCCTCCTCGCTCAGCTCCTCGTCGCTCAGCTCGATGCCCAGCTCCTCCGCATGCTGGCTCCGCCAGGCGGCCTCCGCGCAGCTCTTGGAGTGCTTGCGCTCGTGGGCGTCCAGCCTGACTGCCAGCCTGACCCGCTTGCGCACGGCGGGCAGCAGCGACAGGTCCTGGATGGGGGGTGGTGTGGTGGAGGAGGGACGTTGGGTGAGTGGTAGACGCTGGGTACCCACGCAAAGGGGAGGCGTGGACGTGGGGTGCGCAGACATGCGCGGGGGTTGGTGACCGCCAGCGTTGAGCAGCAGGCTGCTGCTTGCCGTTGCCCGCCCTCCGTGCCCGAACCCCCAGGCCCAGTGTTCGGCTGCCCACCGCGTCCTTTTCTCACCCCCCTCCTCCTTCCCTTCCCGAATCATTGCCAGCCCCCTCCTCCACGCTCACGATGGGGAACTCCGGGGGCACTTCCCTGCCCAGGCCGCGGTAGAGGGCCAGGAAGCGCGCCTGCTCCTTGGGCGTGACCATGGCCAAGCTGAGTCCCTCTGCGCTGGCCCGCCCCGTCCGCCCGGACCGGTGCACGTAGGTGTCCAGCGAGGCGGGGAGCTGGTAGTGCACCACGCAGCGGACATCCCGCACGTCCAGCCCGCGCGCCGCGACGTCGGTGGCCACCAGCACCCCCGCCGCGTCGGCGCGGAAGCGGTCGAGGGCCTTGAGGCGCTGCCGCTGCTGCATGCCCGCGTGCAGCGCCTGCACGGGCAGGGCCAGCAGCTTGAGGATGGCCGCCAGGCGGCGCACCGCCGACACCGCGTTCACGAACACGATGGTGCGGCCCGGGTGGCAGGACAGGAGGCAGTACAGGTACTCGTCACGCTCAGCCTCAGGGCAGGAAAGGTGGGCCTCGGAGACACGCGCCGCGACGCGCATGCCCGTGGTCAGGTCCACCACCGCGGGTTTGCGCCCGCGGAAAGGCACACGGTCCATCAGCGAGTCCAGGGTGGCGCTGCCGCTGCTGCCGCCGCCACCCTGTGGTAGGAGGGTTGTTTGGTAAGG